CAGACCTAAAGAACCCACAGAAGGCAAGCAGTTACCAGAACTGCTCTCTACCTACTATGTAAAGTGTCCCTATTCTTTTACACCCCACTTAAATCCTTTGTCTTTGATGATTGTTCAGTTACCAGCCCAACTCACTGAAAAATCCTCCTGCTATTTTCCCTTAAAACTAATAAATCTTATGCCCTAAGATATTGTCAACTGCAAAAGAACATGATTTCTTTAAAATCAGATTTTCAAAGAAAAATCTTTTAAAATAAACAATATAAAATAAACTTAAGATTTCACAACATTTGGAATATTATCCTAACTTCAGGAATGCCAAACTATGAGGGGGGAAATACTTCTAAAAAACAAAAAAATATATATCACTTTATTACAAATTATCTGTAGCTAGCTCATAATTTTTTTTAAGTCATAGACTATTGTAGCTAGAGTAAACCTTAGAAACAGTTTATTCCAACACTCTTCTTTTACCAGTGGAGAAGCTGAGCCTAAGAACTGATAAGATTCTGAGGTTACAGAGCTAGTTTAATCAGAGAATAGGAACTTCATTCCTGGCCGCCTGATTCTACCATAATTGCTCTCCCCATTACTCAAGCAGAAAAAGGTTCAAATCCAGTTTCAGCTCTTACCAAACTGCAACGAGCACAGCCTTTCTGAAGCTCAGCTTCTTCCTGTATAAAATGAAGTGGGGTAATAATAGCTACCCTATAACATGTTTTGAAGCATACAGCATCTACCATGAGAGGCATAAGAAATCGTGGTTGTTATTAAAGATGAATATGTATTCTCTAGCCAACTGGATTATGAATGTTTTTAATATAAGGATCTTACCTGCAGCATTGTTTACAAGGTGCTAAAAATTAGAAACAAGGTAAATGTTTATTATCGGGAAATCAGTAAATAAGTCATATTCTATCCACACTGTGAATATTAGGCCACTATTAAAAGGAATAATTAGAGTAACTTTGCAGACAGTTCCCTGAGCCTTTTGGCCCACCTTTTTATTCTGTGGCACATTTCAGTATACGAATTAGGAAGTGTAAGTCTCTCTCCCGCCTGATGTACCTCTCCTTAAATTCTTAGATGCTTTTGTCTACACTTTCCCTTCTCGATTATATAGTAAGGCCCAAACTGAAGTTGAGGTGCATGATTAAAGGACACCAAGTTCTAGCCATAGAAAAACATCTAGTGCCGGCTCTCGCGTAAGTTCTGTACTATGTGAAGTCTGTGAACCAGGATTATTAACATTGGGATGGTAAAAACCAAGACTCATATACCAGAGCCTGCCTTTCACATGACAGCAGATCAAAAATTCTTGTTGTTCAAATGGTTAAAGCTGCTTCTAAATCTAAATGACAGGTTCTTCTCATCATTTACGCCATCAGTTATTCAATAAATATTAATTGAGGGCCTACTGTATGCCAAGCCTTGTATTTGATGCTAAAGGCAACAATGCAGTCATGGAGCTGCTTGTTTGCCAGATTCCACATAAAATGCCATGATACGGGGGGAGGGGGGAAGAGAAGCCCCACACTTGTATGGCAGATCCTTGGCATCAAGCCTCAGCATTACGCAGAGCAGCTGCACGGTGCAGAAATGTAGTTCGATGCTGGAGAGACAAAATAGCTACTAATGAATCACCACAGTTATCTTCAGAATACTTTGGGACACAGCCTTTCCAACTCAGCAACACAGTTCTTTATCTTACAGTGGCATTTAACTTAACTTCCATTCTGCCTTCCCTCTACCAGGCCAGGTCCAAATATTCACGCCCTACCCAGAAAACAAAATGTATGTTTAGGGTTAATTTTTCATCATTTCCCTTTCCTTAATATCATCTGAAAATGGCAGTAACTAAGCCCCATCTAATGAAAGAAATGCCCAAATAATTTCTTTCATATCTTAAATCCCTAACTCCCAACACAAGTTCAGTTAATCGCATTATAAGACATTATCAAGTACTAAAGACAGTTTATTCTGAGAAAAATACTACCATCCACTTAGAACTTAAAATATGTAACTTTCAGGTTTTCTTATTGCCTAAAATAAGATACTTACTAATAAATCCAAAAAGGACCTTCTCAAGAGAAAATTCAGCAGTAATTTCTAGAAAACATCAAAAAAGGGGTTCTATTTGGGTACTATTGATCTTACTCTCATAGTCAACGGGAGTCTGATTGGTTCCTAGAAATATATACATTCTATTAAATAGACAAACCCATTGGCAGATACAGTTTCAAACACACTGGGACAAGTGTTCAGGATGTATTTCAACCATGAGTACAGATTTTGAAGATATTACTATATCCTTTAGGCTACAGTCAGGAAAAGGCATTCAAACCAATACTGCACTTACCTTTGATAGAATTTTCAGTCTACAACTAACCACAGCTGGGCTTCTAGTACTTTAAAAAACATGTGTAATAGGAACTAGACAATATCAAAATAACTTTTAAATTATATCATGAAAAAAATTAAATTTAAGCTGTTTCTATATGTTGACATAGGATGAAAATGAAAAAAGCAATTAAACAGACCTATTTTTCCAGGTACTATTACCTTAATTGTTAATCCAACATCTCTCATTGCCATTCCCATTTGCAAGATCCCCAGGAACAGTTATGTGAACACGAACACAGTCGATATCAACAAAGAAAGGTTACTTCAGATCTGATTAGATCATTAGTAAACTTGATATTTTCAGAAGGATAGACTTGACTAAGTTTGGAGACAGTGTAGCAAGACTAAACATTCCATTTAAAATTCATGAACTCAAAACTGCTCTTGTGTAAATGTATCAAAAACCTGGTCTCATCGATCTCAGTTTACTTTATTTTTAAAAAGTACAACTGACATTATACAAGCTAGAATTTCACAAGACCTCCGAATTCAATTATAATGATTTCCTATAATTATAGTAATGCATTCTATAAAAATATTCAAATATTTTGTGCATTAAAAATGGGTAACTCTTAAACTGAGAAGGCACTAACTGGAAATCAACCTAGGAACAACCACTGAGAGCCCAGAACTATTATATTCCTTCCAAATACCAAAATATTATTGTAGCATTGGGCACACACACTTGCTCTATCAACCTACTAACAATATAAAAGGGAAAAAAATTAAACACTGAATAAAGGAAAACCACAGTCCCCGTGTGACTACTGCCACAAGAACGCAAAGTTCAGAATCCACAGCATTTCCTTGGATTCCAAAACACACCGCTCGCCCTTGGATTGTCTCATGGACACTGAGCCACATCCTCTGCTATGGAGCCTTAACACATTGCTGCGTAGATTATGAAACAGATTATGCTTTCACAAAAAGGACACTGAAAATCATCATAAATGATCCATCGTTAATAACCACCTCATTGCAGTCCAGACTCACTTATCCTTCACTGATTTAAGAACTGAGACAAACTGGCCTTCTAGACATTAGTAGCTAAGTGAAAGGTATTGGTTCATAGCTGTGGGTTTAACTTTACATTCACTTTCAATATTAAACGTTTGCTTCTCTAAAGATGGCCTCATTTGAGCCCAAGTCAGCAAGTTATAAGGATGCCTGAACTGCTAAGGCAGCAATCCGTGTCCACTCAGAGACGGTCTTCCCGCAGTCTTCCTACGAGCGCCTACCTGCGACAGCCCACCCTCCCACAGTAAGTTCTGGAACAACCCAAACACGACTCCTAAACCCTGCTTTTAAACAGAAAGTGGCCACTTCCTAAATTAGACAAACCACACATTCTCAAACAAGCAACATTAAAACTCAGAATCAAGGTGACAATAAAAACCCACCAACTGACTTTGTCAAGACTTGAATCTTCTTTTGAAAGCATTCCCGAATTCCCCAGGGAACGAGAGATGACAACTAAAGGAAACATATCTGAGCTAGGAGATTTGTGTGTCTCCACTGTAATTCTACATTATTTGAAACTAGGTAAACTACTGCTTTCCAACGTGTCTCATTTTTTAAAAAAGTAGTATTTCTCTTTTTTCTAAAATAGATAACACACATACGGGTTTTTTTTTTTAAGTCCCAAATGGTTTGTGAAAGTAAGCCTCCCTCCCACCCGTCCCCAGGTCCCTCTCCAAGGACAAATACAGTCGCCTGCGTTCCGTTCCCTTCCACAGACATTCTGTGCACAGGCAAACATGCGCGAGTGTTTTAAACCAATTATCCTGTATTATACACACATGGCAGCTGGAAAACGCTGCTAAATGCCTCTGGGCTTAAAGAGGGGTGTGGGATGGAAGGAAGGAGATTTATTTTGAAGCTATGGTTCTGCACATCATGCACCTGGTTTTACTTTCATGTGCACGGAAGGTGCTCCAAGATGAAGGGGGAAGAAGGTAAGCCCACCGCAAGCCACCCCCGGCTCTGCCGCTGCATCCGCACTGGTCTGCACTTTTCTACGTCCTGAAGTTTATATTTTGTATTCTCACTGGGTTAAATGAAGTATCTCGATTCACCTTCAAAAATAAAAATTAAAAGCCTAAGTCTGAAGGTAACTTTCAGAACCAGGTGATTTTCTTCCTCCCCGCCGAACACGCAGCCTACTTCCGCCGTGGTGCCCTTTACGAAAGGTTCAGCCTGGCACGGAGTTGCAGGGACCAGCCGGGAACACAGCAGCCCACGGACGGGAGGCGGGGGCGAGGGCGTCCCGCGCGCCGGGCTGCACTTTCCTTCTGCACGAGTGTTTTAAAGTAGCAGACCCAAACCCTCGGGTCCTCCCTCCTTTTTCCGGAGGAGATGCTCGGGCGCTGGGGCTGATTACGAGCCCGAGTCTCTGCCCGGAGCGGCAACTTCAGTTCTGCACCACCCACAAGGATCGGGTCCCCCTCCGCGCCGCTCGGCACCCCCAGAAAGAGGGGGTTCTAGGCAGCGCCCCTGCGGTTTCCGAGACCCCCGCGCCCGGGCCTCCCGCGCGCCCCGATTCCCCGCGCGCTACGCGGGGTAGGCAGCCACAGGTAGGAGGGCGGCGCGGCGCTCACCTGCGAAGGAGGAGGGGGGCTTTCGGCGCCAGCGGCAGAGGAGGCGGAGGAGGCCATGTTGTGGGGCTGCTGCTGCTGCTGCTGCTGCTGCTTCCAGGAACTCTGCTCTCCCCTCCCCTCTTCGTGCTCCTTCCCCTAAATGTGGGACTTCTCAGGAAAAAGTTCGGCTGAGGCTCCCGGACGCCGAGCGCTGCACGGCGACGCCCGGGGCTCCTCCCCCTGCTTGCCGCAGCGCCCGCCAGGTGCCCGCCCGGCCGGTGCGCGGGGGGGCGGGCCCGGCCCAGGTGGGGACGCGGCGGCCCGCGGCGCCCGCTCCCCACCGGCTGCCCGGCCCCCCCCGAGCAGGCCCAGTCGGCCGGCGCTCCCGGGGTCTGAACGGCGATGGGGGTGGGACGCCCGGGCAGGCTGGGCGGTGGGCGGCCTTACCTGGGGAGGAGGGGAGCAGAGGTAGCTCCAGCAAGGGAGCAAGGGAAAGTCCTTTTTCCTGCGGGCTGCTGAGTTAGTCACCTCCATTATAACAAAAGAATAATAACATTCTATGATTATTTGATTAATTGCGGCTTCTTCAAGCGTAAGTGAATAACATCACCATGAGGCAATTTTCCTTTTGCTTTTTTATTAATCTACAGTATATCATCTATGTAGAAGCAGTGTTTGCCAGGTACACAGCTTCAAAACCAAGGTTCAATAGCGACCCTTTCGCCCCACCGATGTCTCAGCAGCACCTAGATTGCCCGGGATACCTGCCCGATTAAAAAATAAAACGGGAGCCATCTGGGGTGTGAGGTAGGCACTGAGCCTGATCGAGCAAGGAAATAGGGGCAGGACCTTTGAGTGTCCCTGTTTCTAGGAGCTCAAATGACAAGGCTTTGCGGAACTCCTGTCCCGGCCGAGGCTGAGGGACGGTAGCCCTCAGGCTGCACCCCCCACAGCATTGACTGTGCTGGGAGGGTAGGGAGGGAAGTAACTGCCCCTCGCAGAGTGTCTCCCAAAGGGAGAGCCTCTCGCCGAAGTCATGGGAGATGCGTTTCGTCGGTAGATGGAGCTGGGCCAGGGCATTAAATGACAGTGAATCACACTGGCTAGAAAGTTAGTCCCTTTTCAATTCTCTTTCAATTCTTCTAACTAAAACAAGAAAGTATTTTCTCTCAGGCACTACCCGCTTTTCTCAAAGAGCAGGCTCCAGGCTCAAAGCCCTAGGTAAGCACTGACATCTAACTAGAATTTATAGCATCGTTAAGTTTTTATTGTTTAGGTTCACTGTTTATCGTTACTGTTACTTTCAAGCGAAAGCATGTTTTCTATTCATGGTAGGGATTCAGTTCCATTTTTAAGCAACTGCATGTAAGGTTTGTTGTCAAATTAAGTAAACCCAAAATAGTAATTTTTCAGATAGGACTCAGGTAAAGCAACAATGCTAGTGGTGGCTAGGGAAAGACTGAAATATGGAAAACTGACAGCAATGTTTTAGTCAGCTAGTGGCAACCAAAGGCAGAATTACTCCTTAACCAGAGAGCAGGGGTTAGACGTGCCTCCGATTGACCCCTGGCTTACTTCCTCCATAATGCCCATAAAACTGAAATACCCTTTTTTAGGCATCAGCTCTATGTTGCTCTCTGTGCTGTGCACTTTATTCATATTATCTCATTTAATCCTCCCAATATCCTTGCAAGACAGGCAGCACCATCAGGAAACTGAGTCTCAGGAATCCTTCTTTAGCTGAGGCCATCATTAGAGGACCAATGTCTCTAGTTGGGGGTATTCTTCACTTGAGATGTTTAAAAATCACTTCAGAATTTAGCAAATATATTTTTTAAAGCCCTGAAATTTTATGTTAAATTCTGTGTGCTGTTACATGGGGAGGAGGTACAGAGTTTTCATCAACTATTCAAAGAGTTCTATGTCCCCCAAAAGTTTGAGCCACTGTTATCATTATTTACAGTACAGTCCCATGCCTCAGATTATAAGATCCATGGGAGCAAAGGCCCTAGTCTTCTTCTATCTCCACTGTGCTTAGCTTGGTGCTTCAGCCACTTGGAGGCATTGGTTGCGCTGAATCAAATGTGTGAAGCAGACAATGCAGGCTATAAAAATGAGTCGGGTAGCTGGGAGGCGTATCACATTAATAAATCCTGTGCAAACACAGGTACCTTACAAGCTAGCTCCCTGGCATTGATACACCCATAAGCACAGCCTTAAACAAGTGGCAAACAGCCAATCAGGTAGACAACAGAGCGAGAAATGTGCAAAGAGCTCCATAGGAAGGTAGAACAAGAAGCAGCCCCTGGGAGACTACCCAGAAAGACATGCTTTCCTGCAGAGCTATTCCAGTCTGGTCTGTTTATCTGGCCGGCTGTTTCTGAGAAACACTTGCATTGAGGTTAGAGACACTTCTCCAGAGACAGACTGCAACACAACCAAAAAAGCTGACTACAAGTCAGAACTGGGCATCTGGCAGAGTCTCTCCTGACTGAAAAAACCCAAAACTAAACCAAAGACCTTTCCATGCAGCCGATAGTCTGTGACTACCTCTAATTTTGTCCTCTCTGTTTCTTCTTTCATAGCCCAAGTATCTTCAAAGGGTAGTAGCCAACACAGTGCCCCTACTTTCTCACCTGCACACTCCTTTGTCCACAGTAAAAGTGGGCCTCTGCCCCTCCTCAGCTATTGAAACTGCTCTTCTCAAATAACAGCTGATCTTCTGTTTGTCACATCCATTAAGGATTTTTCTAGACTTTATCTCAGTTGATCTTCAAGGGCACTTAACATGGCTGTCCGTGACCTTCTCTTCCCCTTTAAGTATTTCTAGGGTTTTGACTTGTCTTTCTTCTCATATGATACACTGACTCTTTGGGATCTTGTCACATGAAGGCTTCAGCTATCACAAAAGGACTCACAAAATCCAACAAAGACAACTTCCCTAAGCCCCAACCCCATAGTTCATCATACCCAAATGGAATGCCAAGCAACACAGGCCTCCAAGCCAGGGGGAGAGGCCTAGAGATCATGAAGGAGAGGCTACTGTGCCCTGCTCCCTCCCAGTCCAATCAGATACTAAGTCTAACATCGTTCCTTGAAATCTCTCTAAATTATTCCTTCTAATCCACCCCCACTAGATCTCTGCCTTTGACCTTCTAATTGCTACAATTTATTGAGTAATTACTATATGCCAAACCATGCCAACTTGCATTTTCCGTCATCTCACACCTAAATAATTACAATCTCCTCTTTATTTTGTCTAGTGCACTAACTCTCATCCAGTATTATGGTTTTTCAGCAATTTCAAGTCTATTCACACACTGTTGAAATCTTTTGGTAACTGTTTTTATCCTTCAGGATAAAGGTTAAACTTAACAAGGGTCCCTCCCCACTGCTTCCACCCGCTCTCAGCTGTTCTCCCTCAGCATCCCCACGCCCTTCTCCATCTCAGTCGCAGGCAGACCCTACACATGGCCATTCTGAATTACTTGCAGTTGCCCCAAACATCAAGGTTATTGCCTTCCTACCGACTATCCCAACTGCCTGGAAAACCTCCCTATCCTCCAGTCCTCTGCCTCCTCCATCATCTCTGTTGGGCCAACTCCTATTCACCCAACAAGACTCCATTCAGAAAAGACATCTTTATGGAACCCTTCCCTAACCCCTTCTTTTTTTGTTAAAATGGGGTTCATTGCCTTTTCTTTGTTCCTCAAAAATGCCCTACACCATATCTCTAATTGTTTTGAAGAATAGCTTCACACCTTTATACAATTTAGAAGTCCTAAAAATTATAAAAACAAACAACCTGAACAATATTGATGTAGGCTATTTAAAGTCTTTATTCCATTTAGTGTGAATACTCATATGTTTTAATTATGGGGTACTGCCTCAGACCCCTTTATAAGGGTTATGTAATATACAGTGTGTGCACCATATTCATATCCTAAAAATTCAGAATTGTGAAACACATCTGCCTCCACGGGTTTCAGATAAAAGATATGGACCTATATAAGCATTGCTTTTCTTGGCTGTCTCCCCTTGAAATGAAAAGCTTCTTGAAGCTTCAATTGTATCCTTTTCAGCCCAAATACCCGTTATCTAATGCAATGTCTGGCTCAGTAGAGATTTGCTGAGTAAATCAAGGGTATATTTATGAACTTGGACCAAATTTCATAGGACTGACTCCCAAGGTCGAAACCTGATACCTCTCTTGCTTCCTTCATGGCTATCCCTCCTCTGGACTACACCATACCTTGCATGCACATCACATTTCTCAAGGTAGTGTAATTGTTTGCATGTCTGTTTCCAGTGAAACTGAGCAGGTTGAAAGCATAGATAATGTAGTCTTTGTACTTCCATGTTCACAGTGCCCAGCACAACATCAGGCACATTATATTCTGGCTCAGTTTATTTTGTTGAATGATAGAAGGTAGAAAAGAACAGAGGGAGAGAGAGGGAAGACAGGAAGAGAAAAAAAGAATAATAGAAGAAGTCTAGGTGAAGATAATTTAATCTCTATTTAAAGGGCTCTAATAGTATGCTCCAAATTCAGTCTCTTCACAATATATGTCATATTTGCACATCATTTTTATTACTTATAAGTTTATTTAAATTAACTTATTATCTAAACAATTATTTTATTTTTAATCTTTATTGTTTTCCACTACCATTTAGTCACCTTATCTCTCCCCACCCCCCCCAGCACTCACCCCACTGTTGTCCATATCCATGAGCCCTTTCTCCTTTTTGCTCAATCCCTCCACTCCCTAGCTCTCTCAACTAGCTGTCATCCTGAGCTGTCTCCATCTATGAGTCTGTCCCCATTTTCCTTATTAGTTCAGTTTGTTCATGAGATTCCACATATGAGTGAAATTATGTGGTATCTGTCTTTCTCTGACTGGCTTTCTTACTTCTCATATGATGCACTGACTTTTTGGGATCTTGTTGCATTAAGTCTTCAGCTATCACATAAGGACTCACAATTCCAAATAAGGCAATTTCCTTAGCACAATATTCTCAAGGTCCATCTGTACTGTCACACAGAATAAAATTTTCTTCTTTTTATGGCCTAGTAGTATTCTATTGTGTAAATGTTCCATAGTTGTTTTATCCACTCATCTATTGATGGACAATTGGGCTGCTTCCATACCTTGGTAATTATAAATAATGCTGCAACAAACATAGGGGGTATATGTTCTTTTGAATTAGTGTTTTGGGTTCCTTCATATATATTCCCTAAAGTAGGATTACTGGGTCAAAAACCAGATCCATGTTTAATTTTTTGATGTATCTCCATGCTGTTTTCCACAGTGGCTGAACCAGCTTGCATTCCCACCAACAGGGCAAAACAATTCCCCTTTCTCCACATACTCTCCAGTACTTGTTTGTTGATTTATTGATGATAGCCATTCTGACAGGTTTGAGATGGTATCTCATTGTGGT